TCTTTTCAGTAATTTAAGTTCTATTTTCATTGTTAAATCCTCAACTATAAAAATATCATGTGATCCAGATCCTCTTCTTCAAGGTATATGTTCACGAGATGTGACAGAGGCAACACAAACAGACATATGTGTACAGCGCTCATTGCACCATTATTCACAATTGCTAAAGGTAGAAACAAGCAAAATGACCATTATCAGATGAATGAAAATTTAAATATATACTAAATACATAATAATGGAATATTATTAAAAGATAAGGAGGAATCATATTCTGATATATGCTGAAACATTGGAGAGCATTGAATCCATTATGCTGATCAAATCAACCACAAAAGGAAAAGTATTTTAGGACATCACTCATATAAACTAAACATAACAGACAGATATATATATATATATATGTAAACCAAGAGGTGATTGAAAAAAGGGTAGGATTACTTGTTTAGGAAGAGCTGAGTATCTGTATATGGTGATAGAAATTTGGCAACTAATATCAGTGATGGCTACACAATATGATCAAAAACATTTATTAAAGTAATTTAATACATCCACTAAGTGTACATTTCAAAAAGGGAAATTATAAATTTGTGAGATATATATATATAAAACAATTAGAAAAATACATTTGATTCAGGGTGGAATGGTGGTGCCACTAAAAGTAGCTTTTACTACATGCTGGATCCTTCCTCTAAGGATTAGCCTTTTTAGCCTCAGCTGAATGCATGATATTAGTGAGGCCTATTTACTCTCCCTGGATAAAAGGCTAAAATTCTCTCAACACTGTTTGACACCTGGTATCTCTGTTATACTTTCAGTAAATCTTTCTCAGTTCACATGCACTCTAACCCTTATTCACGTACACACAAAGACCATCTGCCCTCAGAAATGGCTACCCGAAAGGCCTTTCATACTTGTAATAGGGGTCACTTGCAAGTTCCAGCTGTTTCGGCACCCCTGAACTCCAAAGACTTCAGTAATGCTTGGATGGACCTTTGGGCAAAGGAATTCCTAACCAGCGCATCAATATAAATGTGAAATTCACCTTCTGTGAGTCTTTATCCAGGGATAGAATGCCAAATATCTAGCAAAATTATCTCTCAAATATGAGAGAGAAATAAGGGTATTTCCAAGCAATAAGAATTGAAAGGATTTTGTCAACACAAGAATAATATTACAAAAAATACTAACGGGAACACTTTAGACAGTGACTCAGTACCAGCAGACAAAGTTGAAATCAACATACAAGACAACACCACCCAGAAATCAACACACTTAGAACAGTATTCAAGTCAGCACAGAAATATATGAAGAAGAAAAAAAAATAACACCACAAAAACACACAACAAAATAACAGCAGCAAACCATATATATCAATAATAATACTGAATATTAATGGATTAAACACACCATGAATCAAGAGACATCATGGGAGAAAAGAAAACAAGACCACTCAATATGCTGCCAAAAGAAACATCTTTAGACCCAAAGACAAAAATAGACTGAAACATCAAAGGATGGAAAAATACATATCAAGAGAATGAAACCCAAAAAGAAAAGTCAGAAGCGGTGATATTAACCTCTGAAACTCTCGATATTTGCAGATGAAATTATTTTATATGTAGAACACTCAAAAGACCAACCAAAAAATGCGTTGGATACAATCAAAAGATGACAGGATACGAGATTAACATAGCAAAATCAGTTGATTCCTATGTACTAACAGAGAGATCTTAAAAAGATATCAACAAACAATATTGTTTACAATAGCCACCCAAAATATTAAATACTGGGGGATTATCAACCAGAGAAACAAAAAGCTGGTGCAAAGAAAATTACAGAACATTACTACAAGAATATTTCAAGTTCATGGATAAGAATATTGTAAAAATGTCAACACTACCAAAAGCGATCTGTAAGTACAAAGCAATTCCAATTCTGATCCTAACTTCACCTTTAAAGAGACGGAAAAATCTGTGCATTTTCTATCATTTCTGTCATTCCCTTCCCTGGACAGGTCCTGTGGGATACAACTGAAACACCTTAGTCCCCCTCCTATATTTTTTCCCAAACTACTACTGTGACTCCTTGACAGAGTTTACATGTTATTTGAAGGTAAGTGCTCCCTGATTGCAGATTTAAAAGCGGCTGCTATACCAGTGTGCTCCCATCGGGATTGCTACATTATATTTTATGTCCTGACCTGTTTCTAATAATCCCATGGAGCAAAACACATTCCTTATCATCCCATATTGACTCTTTAGCCAAGTCAAATGAATAAATATATAAAACATAAAATAAAACTTACCTTTGTAAAAGGAGACTCAACAAGCAGAGCGCCTGAGCTGTTGTATGAATACATCATGAGATCGGGTGGTAAGAATGACCTAGCAACCAAAATAAAGTAAGATATTTCACTCTAATAAAAATAACCTCATAATAATGACATTCATTTCCAACTTCACAGGCTCGGACATCTAGAGACTGGATATACCTAACTCCTCATAATCTAACTTTCCTTATGAAAGCACATCGTGTAAATAAGAAATAATAATCAGTTAACAAAAATCCTGTATGAGCACTTTAATGAATACAATTCAATTCAACATACATCTGTATATCGGTGTACACTATAAGCAGGTCTTACAGATTCACATAAAAACTTATGTGGTTTTGTTTGTTTATTTGTCTTTAGGTTCAACCATCAATCAATCTCTATCGTGTAATAGAGCTGATGGATGGCTACAGAGGCACTTAAATACATTTTGCACTTATCAAAGAACATAATCTCAAAGATAATATTATGTCTAATTCTGCATACCAAACAGTTTAAAATCCACAACCATATACAAAAAGCAACCAATATTTAAGCCTCGAACATGGAGAGTCCCCTGAGAATAAGCTAGAGAGTTGTGCTGGTCTTGGCAGACTTTTGCAATGGACTGTGACTGACCTAGCATTGATGACAGGGAACCTTGTAACTCTCATCTTACAGCAAAGCAGTGCGGCGTAGCTTACTCCTATTTGTACTTAGCCTAATGCATGCATGTGTCCCTTGTTCCCCACCCCAGCTTCTGTGGGGTTTTAAAAATAACTTTCTGAATTGCTTAATAGCGTGTGACCATTTGGTTGATTTGGCCTGGAAGCCATGTAAAAATCTGTCCCTGAAGGGTCATTAAGACATCAAAAGAAAAAAAAAGACATCAAAAGAGATTGTTTGTGAATTATAAATGATACTTACTCTTATGGTTTTATCTGATTGCTATAGTGACTAGAGTAATGGAAAGTACCTAGCATAGAAAGTATACAACTCCCGCATAAAATAATACACTCTTTATTTATTCTGATCACAAACTGGACTCCATTGAGACAGGTTTCACCTTCTAATAAACTTCTCCATTCCTCTCTAACTCAGAGTTAGTGAGCTGGCTGTGCTCTGCCAAGGCACAATCTAGTACTTGTGGTAAATAGGCCAGGCATATTCTTAAGTGTATGGCAAGAGGGAAACATAGGCAAACAAGACAGAAGTCTCTTTTTCAGTACAGACTGCTAACATCTTTTGACCAAAATGAGTCACATAGCAATAGGATGCAGAGCTATATTGTTGTTCTTAGGTACCATCCAATTGGCTTTGACCCATAGCGACCCTACGCACAACAGAATGAAACACCGCAAGGTCCCAAGCTGTCCTCACCATGGTTCCTATGTCTGAGCGCACTGTTGCAGCCACTGGGTCAATTCACCTCCTGGAGGGCCTTCCTCTGTTTCACCGCCCCTCGACTTTACCAAGCATGATGTCATTCGCTAGGGACTAGCTCCAGACTAAGGACAAAGGAGGACTGGCTCTCTACTTCCGAGGAAGAAGTCGCTGAAAACCTTATGCATAGCTATTGGATGGACTATATAGTATGAGGGATATAGTCCTAAAAGAAACTTTGTGACCACCTGTTAAAAATTATTTGGAGTTTTTAGATAGCAACAAAGAAAAAAAAATATTCATTTACATGCCGTACCTTCCTAACAATGGGGCCCTTTGGTGTTCCACAACACATGAAGCTGGTCTTGCACAACCAAAAGCAAATTCCATCACTTAGGGGTAAGGCTGGAGGTTTGAAGAAGATATATGTACTTTTACTCTTATTGATAACAACTCTAAATTTTCATGGTGTGATAGCTTTTATGTCAACTTGTCTAGGTCAAGATTCTCAGTCGTGTGGCCGTTAAAGTCTAATAATCTCCCCATAATGTTACCTAAGAGTGTAATAAACTCTATAATGGGATCTGCTGTGAGCAGCTAATGAGTAGTAAGAGTATAAGGGTGGAATGCAACCTGCTTACTCAGTTCATAGCCCTGATAAAATTTCCTTTGGGGTGTGTACTACTTCCTATGTAAGTAGGCACGGTGGGAAGCTTGTTTGCTTTTTGCTGTGCCAAGGTCTTACATCTGGCTCATGGACTTCCATTTATTTTCACTTGAGCCAAACCCCTCCATATTGTGTGCTGGAACTCAGAGCTGTCAGCAGCTTGCCATTTGACTGACAGACCTTGGCTTCATTGGGCTCTGCAACCAACATCCTGACTCTGTGGCCATAGAGTCATTACATCTGCGTCCAACTACCTGGAAGCTTCCTGCTTCCTACTTGGCCTTCCTGCTTTCTGGTTATCAGCACAGGCAGCTCCATGCAGTCAGGAGAAGCCTCAAGCTTAACGGCTGACCCACAGACTTGAACCAGAATTTACTTACCCACCTCTCCAGTTAGGAGTCATTTTCTTGATATAAATCAATGTATCTATCTATCACTTCCTCTATCTAAATCAATGGTTCTACTTCTTTAGGGAGCCAAGCTTAACATACATGACACTGAATAAAGACAAAAGGATAGGTTAAGAATAGGGATAACTTTTGTATCCTGACTCCAGTCAAGATGTTGCTGTTGTCATCGTTAGGTGCCCTCAATTCAGTTCTATCTCCTAGCGATCCCTTGTACAACACATTGAAAGACTGATCCATCTTACACTATCCTCAAAATTGTTCTTATGTCCCAGCCCATTGATGCATAGATTCCAAAATAAAATCACCACTGCATTTCATAATAACACCTTCCAAAATCAAAGAAACTTAGGGGGGGGGAAGTTACCTACAATAGGAAAAAATAAGATTTTTCGGCAGAAATCATACAGGCCAAAAAGTACTAGGATGACATATGAGTATATAAGTTACTAAAAGAAACAAATTGTGAACCAAGAATCTTAAATCCAACAAATGTCCATGAGATACAAGGGAGAAACAAGAGTATTTCTAGATAGGTAAAAATTAAAGGAATTTGTAAAAACAAAACAAAACTTGAAGCTGGAAGTGTGGTGGCACTGCGTGTCAGGCATTGGGCTGCAAATCACAAGCTCAGCAGTTCAAATCCACCAGCTGTGCCGTGAGGGCTGTCTGCTCTTCTGAAAAAACCAAACTTGAAAAAACACAAAGAGGTTCTTTGAAGAGAATCAGCAACACATGCAGATATCAGCCTGAGATTAAAACAAGACAACAATGCCTAGAAATCAATGATATCATCAAAGTAAAGCAAATATAAATGACTTAAAATAGGCCATCAGAGATACTATTCCACAATGAAGAAATTCAGAAGCAAAAAGAAGAAATAATGAAGGCACAAAAAATTGGAATGGAAATGAAGTCAAGTAGAGAACAGGTGTAGTAAACTTAGAAACAAATGAATAAGGAATAAGATAACTTCAAAGAAAATGGATAAACTTCATCAAAATTTAAAAAGGGAAAATCACAATGACCTAGTAAACAATAAAACAGCAGCAAAGAAAAAAAAGCTACAACAATATGAACTTGGCCCAGAAAATTAGGAGGAACTAGGAAATTAACAAGGGTGCAAAATAAAACTCCAGCAATAAATTCATTCTCGGCAATAATGACACAATGTAAATAGATTAAAAACACCTATTAAAAGACAGACAGTAACATGGATAAGAAAGCAGGACCTATCAATATGCTGCTTACAGGAAATATACTTTGAAC